ACCGTTAGCCGAATAGATCTGCACCATTTTGGTTGTGGCTCCATAAATACAATTGAGTCAACAATCCAACAGACTTACTGTTTCTATTTTGGGCACACAGACGTCAAAGTAACCATTAACGATGATGTTGTCGTGAAAAATGACGCACGTCGAGCCCATTATCAGTTAAATGCAGAAACTTACAACACCTGTCAATCAGTTTTTGAAAGTAACGAATAACAGTAAGTGTCCCAGTCTCGCTCATTCAACGCAAAGGCTCTGCCCTCCCGTAATCTTTCCCCTTTGACGGCCTCTGTGTGTGCGCAGAATTCTCTGCATCGTCGCTCGCCACTTTAATTTCCTTCTGTGTTACGTGCAATTTCTCGCTTGATAGCACTTCTAACGTTTTTCTTCGTATTTCTAATTAAAACAACTAATTAAAAATGACCCTCATGCAAGTTTCTATGTATCTAGCCAGCTCGGACTTGAGCAAAACGTTTTTTGAAGTCGTTCCAATGACTGAGAGCTGGATTACCTTGATTGATGAGAAGTTGTCTGTCCAGTGATATCAGTGGGTATCATTAGACATGATCACGACGTACCTAGCAACGAAGTGGATTTATGGGAAGACTATGGCGGTTTATGAACATTTATATAATTTTTTATGGGCAATTCTACTATTTTTGGTAGAAGAAGTCAGATATTCCCTCATTAATTCCAAATGCTGAGCCCAATCTTGAAATTGCTAATAATTGGTATTATCACGAAGTTTTATGTGATTCTACCATTTTTTTATCATCAAGCTCAATGTGAAGCGTATTTCTCGGAGGTTTACGGACGTTTGATCTCCTTTTCAATCAATAATCAATAAAAAATGGGAATTTTCCTTGTGTAGTGAAAACGAATCATAGGTCATGGTCAGCATTTGCCTGTTGTGGAAGTCTAAAGTCTTTTAGAAATAAATATTATTAATATTTTTATTTTATTATTGTCATAATTATGGCTATTTTTATTGTGGTTATTATGACCATGGTAATATAATAATATTGATATATTAATGGCCGTTTTGAACATTTTCAACGGCAGAAGTAATCGAATAAAAGAGATTTTATGAGTTTTTTTCCTATAAAGCTTGTCTAACAGCTTCATTAGATAGCTGTGTACGGCAGGTGTAAAGGTGCAGTCCTGCTTCTGCTTTCCTCTCGAATTTCCCTCTTCCTGATTTACTGAGTAACTTTACTGTCGATGTTCTTAGGTTCTCTGACACTCGTTATCATGTCGATGTATAATCCGTCGTCGTTGATTACGAATTCTGAGGCGATTCCGTAATTCAGATCCCAATTTCTACACTGTTATTCCTTACTTTCTACACTCCTCACTACAAATATGGCTCTTGGTGTAATCACGTCTCCAGGAGTGGTCTCAGGCGTATTCACAACATCAAAACAAAAACGAAGTGCCAGTCATGATCAAGGCCGACGTCGTGGTTCACTTCCATTCAATATCCCACCCATCGCAAAAATGCCAGTTGGCCGTATAGAAAGTTCATGGATAGTCCGCCGTCTGGCCTCCATGCTTCGTCGAACGTCGACAGAGGGCGGAGATGAGGGCGTGACAACGAATCACAGACGCAAAAGTCAGGACGAGTGCTGTATGCAGTGCCGTCAGGCATTCAATGAAACCGTCCAACGATGGACGTTCGACGACGAAGAATGCTCCATCGATCCATCGACTGTCTACCGTCAACAGCTTCGGCAGCTACTCCAAGATGAACCCTTGACAGTGGATTTTACCGAAACCGATTTGAAAAATCTCACCCGGTCACTTTCCGAGGGCGACCTCGGACGTGAAGATGACGACAATTCAAATGAAGCAGTCGATAGTCTCATTGAACGCTATGGATTGATGTCCACAGACTACTCAGGTAGGTTTCTTCACCTGGAATTGGATTACAGAAGTCCAGGGGCAAATTTTCTTTTTAGAAACGCTCTGCGTTCCCGAAGGAGCTATCTGTGGCGAGGAAGAATGCTACATAACGAATGTGTTTTTGGGAAATCTGGAACGATCAGATGATACTCAACCCGATTCAGAGGAAGAGGTTTCGGATTCGGCTACCCCAGCTGACATCCGACCGGTTAAAATGGGGGAAAATCATCGTCAGAATCACCGTCCCATCTCGATGAGTATCGATGACTATCCTAAAGATCGAAATGGCAACAATCAGGAACAGCCAGTTAGCCGAACACGAACGTTCCCCCAGTATAAACGGACCCGATGTGTGTCGGCGCTGCTTTTCGACACATTGACGAGACGACTTTCAAAACAAAGTAAAGCCAGCTTCAAACGCGATCCAACGAAAAGATCTCTTGAGCGTACGTCGTTTTCGGATGGTGACGGTGAGCTTTCTTTTTGATTCTTTGCTCAGATGAGCAATAAAAAATTGTAAAATTGAAGAAAATAGGGTCGCACGAAAAGGCATTGGCAATTTGTAACAGAAATATTACAATTTTAAAGATATTTTGTATTGTTGTAAAAGAAATAATCCGATTCAAGGGCTCCCGGATCATCTATCTAGCGCGCTGTCACCTCCAAGCGAGATCAGCGAGATCGAAGCTGTGTCTACCGTCGATTTGTCAACGACGGCGAAATACAACTTGTAAGTTTTATGTAGTAACTCCAAAAATTTGGGAGCGACAGCGAAAGAACAGCACTTATCGATTGATTTGATTGATTTTGGGCGTTCTAGTTTTCAAAAGCATCTTAATAGTCTCAATAAATTCAAGGCGTGCACCTTTGATGGTTCCTTCCGTTCAACGGCATAAAAGCCTTTTTTCTATGTCTAATGGACCGGGGCAAAGAATTGTTTTTGTGATTGAGCGCGTCGAATCAGGTGCATGAATAAGTAAATAAATGGGATCACTATATAATCGATATCGATCAATTCCCTTAGATATAGCAGCAGGAAGAGCAATGCTTCTGTAAACCGGTTCAATTAGCTTCTATGAGGTTACCAATACTTAATGCGTGACAGAATTACGATAGTAATGTCTCTTTTTCCTTCTCCTCTCTACTGTACAGACAGAGGGTCCGCTGTTCTTGTAAGTTGCCCCCGATTTCTTCTGCCTGCGGCATCTTCCACTGCTCCCATGGTTCGGGGAAGGTCTCTCTTGAGCACGTCCCTCCATCTCTCCTTGGGGGCCCACATCAGTCAAAGTGATCTGTTTAAATTCATGAGAACTTCAGGGGGAATTGTACCTGGCGTGGAGAAATTTCTTCCCCAATTTTGCACTTGTGAATGGGTGAAAATCGAAGTGGTGCTAACCACATGACCAGAAGAAATGATAGAAAATCCAGTTTCACTGTGACCGTAAGGCCTATATGTGTGTGATGGGTGACTGTGACAGGCACAAACGAACTTTCCTTCTAAAAACCCCATCCAACTTTCGACAAAATGTGAATTCTCGGCAGAACTAAGTTAAATATCGGCGATGGACTTGATTTTCTCACAGGAAACCTCCATTTCCCTTGTGAATGCACCCTGGCTCCTGCGGAAAACGTCTTTTCCGGGGTACTTTTGTTTGAAAATTGAAAATTTAGACGATCTACCGGGTTGATGGGAAATTGTTTACGAGTTCAAAACTGATTTCAGGAATTCCCCATTATGGGCTCGATTTGATTTGTTCTCGAAAGATGAATATACCTCATGGCATGATAAATATCGGCATGAAAAACTGAGTTCAAAAGTGGTGAAGAAGCAAGATGCCATTTTCGGTGGGTTTTTTTTTGTATTTTTTTCCAAAATGTTCATTTATCAGTGTTGTAAACACGTTGTTTACCTATTGAAGTTGTTTCATTGATCGTATACTGTTCGATCGTACAGAAATTTTTGAAAGTCACTGATATTGGGCATCATTTTATTTTGAAAACTTGAGTGGCTTCGTGATAATGATTATTTTTTTCTTAAAAATCATTCAAAATAATCGTTTTTTCAGAGTTGATATTGATCGAGAAATCCCACTGTGCCCATCTTGCATTTTTGCAGCAGGTACTTACATTAAGTGTTTTGTCTGTCGCATAAAATAGTCCTTTTTGATTATAAATAGCCTCGAGTGCAATTGAAAATTTCCATTAAGTAGTGAGTAATTGAAAGAAATGTTTTTTGAGTCACTTAATTTTATTTTGCAGGGATACCGTAACCGACTGCTGCAAGAAAACATACTTCTCGAAGCAGATTTGAATCGTTTAATACCGGATGTACTCGACGCGTTACTAGTATTTCATCTGAATCTGCTTGATCGGCTAACTGCACGGCAACGTGAATCTGATGAAGTGGAAACGATTTCGGATATTTTGGCCGAAGAGGTATGTTCGAGTAGAAGACCCCTGACTCAATCCGATTTTTTTTTCACTCGTCTGGTAGGGGCCCAGGCTTAGGAGGGAGGGCCAGGCGTCACGATCAACAATTTTGATTGCTAGTTATGCATTTGTTTCTGATTCCGCTCTGGGAGGAACGACGTGCTCCTAAGATACCAACGGGTAGGAACGATAGGGATCCTAGTCGATCAGGAAGTTGCCGGTTGGGAACTTGTTTGTTGTCCAACTAAACTATAGTGAATGGATAACGTCTCTCGCTTCCAAAGCGAGGTGGTCGACCTAGATAGGGGCTTGAGCCGATCATAAGGTGAGGGCCCTTTTTTCTTTATGAGCGTCTTTTTCAGATTTCAAAAAAGGCATGGGAATTTTGTTTACAAAATGAACCAACTGTCTGGTTTTTTTTTTTGAAGATTAGCTATATTTTGATGAGAGTTCTCGATATTTGTACTGTATTTAAGTTGTCCGATGAAGGCAAGCACATTGGTATAGCTGTAAATGCGTATACAACATTTGGTTCATCGAAAGAACGTTCCGAGAAGATGTTCGAATCGTTGATGGCAAAAAACGCTCGTTTTGCCGAGTTCATTAGGGTGAGTGGCTTGAATGCTTCCGTTTTATGGCTTTTTTTCATCTCGCCTCGTTTCGCCGGATTTCTTCCTCCGCCATTTATCACCTGTTAAATGAATAGGTGGAAATCGATCAATCGATGATTTATTGGGTGACTGGAAATCGATATTGTACCGTATTCCGCCGATAGCTAGTAATATATCCTTATTCACTGGGATCAATAGTTTTACTTCATTGGTAAACAGTAAACAGGGATCTGCAATCAATAAGTCATGTGGCTACCACATGGTTATTATTTCGTAGTTACTGGTTATCTGGTGTTAGGTTCGTCTAAAGGCCTTCATTAACTATGTCTACTGTAGCTTTAGAGCACGTTTACAACCTTCATAAGTCATAAGTTTTTTTGCGAATCGAAAATTGCTTCCAGCTGGTGTTAACTACCTTCTGTGAATTTTTTACAATTTTTTGTGAACAATTTGGAGTTGGGGAGAAGGCTTCACTGGATATTCTGTAGCGGTGGATGCAGTTCGAATGACGTTGAAGCATTTCCACTTCGAAAAGTTCTGAATAACACAAAAAGCTCACTTGCTGCAGGCAGTGGATTGGCCTGTCCTGTCTTCCTGCTTGAAAAGGCATTGAAATTAACTGCAAATATGAAAAAGAAATAGTTTTTCCATATTACCTTTCGTTGGGTCAGAGCAGAGGCTTCTGTAGATCTTTCGCGTACTCATAATCTTCTCCGGTGGAGTACACGGTCCGATACTGCAGAATGAAATGTCACAGAATGTTTAAAGAATCCTACGTCTCTGATGGGAGACTGCTCTGGGAAACTTGTCTCCCCCTTCGGGATCGTGCACTTTGCAAATGAACATTTCCTCTGCCTACGAATTGGGCAGTGTAATGCCAAGGGTAACCCTATGGTTGCTTAATTCACACACAAGTCGTACAACAATTTTGTTCCACTAGAGTACTAGTCGCACTTTCGTCCACCTTACGCCTTCCAGACTACTGTTCTGCGATAATACGACTTCTGAAGGGGAAAGGCATCATCTTTGCGGTGTAATCCTTCCTAGGAATTCACGTCAGGTATACTGGCGCTTTTCCTCCAGTAGTACAGTTCCAAGCAACAGTTCTGTTCGATCTTCAAAGTTTTATATGTTTACAGAAATTAGTGAGCCACGACTTTATCAGCACAATCATCTCAAAAGTCCATTTCCCACTATTGTGTTCTGATTGTTTACTAGGATGCTGGGATAAATAAATGATTTTTTGTATAGACATCATCACAAGATCCGCTCTATCGTCGATATGAATTCAAGTCAACGATGACGCGAGTTATCAGTCGACCAGCAAAATATGGACTATTGGTGGAGACAATTTTGAAGAACGAATACAACAAATTCACAAAAGAGAGCGAGCTAACTCAGAAAGCTCTTCTGGTGAGCCCTATAATCTTCGAGTTTGGTCTGTATGAGGTGTGCAGCATTGTGAACGGTGTCAGTGCGAAGTTACATGGTCACCCGTAAGGTAGGAATTTCAAGTGCTAATGACTGATGACAGATGAGAGTGACTTTTGATGATTAAAAAGTAAAAGTAAAAGGACTCACTAAAAAGTCTGTCGTATGCAACGTTTAAAGCTCCTACTTTCCATGGAATATGGGTGGTTAAGGTGATGAACGGTGTCGGATTTATTTGGTAGAATTCTGCTGGAAAAGTTGTGATCTGACGTGGATATTTCTCGCTTCTTCTGAAAGCAGTGCCCTTCTGCTTTGTATTCTAAATGAAGAAGTGTCAACTCACATAAGCCTCAGAGTCCTAGAAGCCCTTACTTCGAGTGTATTTCTTGCCTAGCTAGCAGTAGGATTGCTTGAAAGGTTTTTTGTGAGCTACTCGCTAAGGTTGTAGGAGTGGCACAAGAGGAGTATTCTAGGTAGCCCCTATGGGGATGGGAACGATGAATACGGAATGTTTTGGGGATTGCAGCAGACACACATTCAGTCCTGAGCTCAGAGTTGACCGCTGCATCTCTCGAAGAACGCATTTGTCTCTCTTTGAACGTCGTCTACTTTGCATACGACGTCAATGTACTTGTAGTATCGGTTATTTGATGAATTAGTTCGTCTTGAATAACAGGAAGGTTCCGCACTGACTACTGGGTAACTCGTTCGTATTGTATCACTTGGGTGCTTTGGGTAGAGCAGGGCATTGGAATCGATCGTCATGGAGTGTGTCTCACTGAATGGATGTCATGATTTTCAACCATTTGGAGTGCTGGACGACCATTAATCACATCATTGCTGTGTTGAAAACTGGTATTGGCTCGACTCCAGTCTTGAGTGTTTGTCCAATCTGCTATTTTTATGGTGTTTATCGTGGGGCCAGAGAAAAAAGTTGTCTGATGATCAGATTTTTGTTCCCTTCTTTGATGGAGACGGCCGCTTTTTTCTTATTTATCAAATATGGGTGTGCTAAATCAGTTTTTTCATTTTTTCTGGGAATCTTGGTAGTGATGCTGTGCGCTGTACTATTTGACTCTCAACAGTAAAAACCGTGTCTAAGTACTTGACTTAAAATTTTTTTCTTGGGACCTTTTTTTTTTTTTTTTTACAGAAGTCCAAACACTAGCCCTAAATCAATCCCAGTTGACAGATTAATTGCTACCAATTTCAGTAGCAGGCAACTGGGGTTTGCTCACAAAGGGTTTGGCTGACTTTCGACCTTTTTCTGAGCTTCTCGCGATTTTCAGAGGTTGAAAAGACGGAAGTTTACTCTCGAATAACCCGTCTGACTGCCTTGTTTGTCTATATGACTTGGTAAGGTCCTGAAATGCAATAGCAGCACCACAGATCGATGTTTAGGAGTGTTGGCCTCAATTGTCCACCTGCGGGTCGACGTTCTCAAAGATTGGCCTTTATACTTCTATGGCGTCATTGTCTTTGTTCAGTGTTGGAGACCCAGTTGAATGGTCTATTTAGGGTGAAGTAGTGCTTGGACGAGTAATCTCTCGGCGGCTTCCATCCTGCTAGGCTGTGAAAGAGACGTTAGTGNCGAAACGTAAGCAAAACAAATCGCTGGTGTCTGTCTCCTCTTCAACATAATACATCTGGTCTGATTGAAAAACAAAATTATAGGCAAATAGAAAATTAATGGTGTTGGGTCCTGTCCAAAGTCTGCATGAAGCGGTTGACAGCGTGAAGAAGGGGGTCGGAAGAAAAAAGGTTGACTATTGAAATGTATGACCACAATGGATTCCTTCGCAAAATGAAATGCGGTTTTGTGGAGTTTTGTGGATGTACCAGTTGGGCTATATTCAAGCCAGAGTTGTGGATTGGTCTATATGGATCTACTTCGTCTGTGATCCTCTAATCTTCTCATCTTGAGTAATGTGATCAAATTTGATAGAGAAGGATCTCCTTTGTCAATATCATTATTAGGAAAAAGATGGTCAGTCGGTGAATTTTGGAGTTTTGAGTTTTGTCATGGTGCGAAGCACAGGCCTTGAAATTGACGTATATGTGTGCTAAATACTTATCGCAACTTCCTGGTGACTGTTGGACAATTAATTACCGAATGAACCCCAAGCAGCTTCCATCGGAACATCATCTACCACCGGCTCGATGATAAGTCTTCATGAAAGCTCTGACCAAAAGAAGGGAGACGTTATGTGGTTATCATTTCTGGGCTCAGAGGCTGAAAGTGGTTCAAAAGGGACGAATGGAGATGTAATGGTTGTCGGAAATACTGTTGGCCAACGGGACGGCAGTTAGTATATCCATGATTTGTAATCCCATTTGTTGAATCATTCAATTACTGCGCTCCTTCCAGCGTACATAAGCTTCATAACAACTAGACGGTTGGAATCATACCTTTCTACATGATGGTCAACATCGGTGTGAAGGGACCGTGCGATTCCATTTCTTGAAAACTTCGTGCCGCCCTTGAGAACATTGTGGATCAACTGGAATGGGAAAAAAATGAAACTCCTCTCCGACGTCAGGCCGTTGAATCTCTTTTGAATCACAGAAGACGTGCTCGTTACTGAGAAAGCCGAGGAAAGCCACCATCTCAGAAATATCATTATTCACATCAAAGAGCTACTGGTACGTATCTCAGAGACGCAACAGTAGCTCTTTAATGTGTATAAAAATTTGTTGATTTATTGGGACTTCACAAATTTTATAAAAGGACGGTCAAGTGCGATTTCCTAGTGTGGTTTATGTACTGCAAAAGAGTGAGGGCAACGTTGACAGACTAGCTAATTCTTCAAAAAATTCATTTCAAATCCGCATTGAGTCATCTGTTTCATCGACGAATTAGCTGATGGATCATAGATAGCTTGTTAGTATTGTGTTAATTAATGTCTACTCTTAAGGCGGCCAAACGTTTTGCTATGAAGATCGACAATAACTTGTTGGTTGCTCAAATGGCACAACGTTGGGATGATGTACGATCTCATTTCGACCATTCAAGTCACACGAATCTTTATCTCGTCGATAAGGAAAAGCCATCCGGTGTTGTACGTATCACTTTCACTGTAAGTTTTTCTTTTGATCTGCACCGATCCGACTGAAGCTATCAATTTTTGAAATATTTTTAATTCCATGCAAAACACTGCTTCTTTTCCGGTCATAAAGTAAATCCACATTGGGTATTTCCTTGACCTGGGAAGGAACAAAGGGGAAAACTTCCAAATATCGAAAGCTTCCCCTTTAACTTTAATTTCGTCCGGATCTTATCCCGGCAAATCATTTTTTATTTTATTTTTGATTGATCTGTTCAGATGGAAGATCTCGATATCGACATGAAACATGTAGGGTCTGGCCAACGGCGGTTGATGTGTCTAGGGGATGTTTGTATGAAGAACTCAAGCACCAAAGTCGTTGAGAAAGGTACTAACGATTCGAAGAATATGGTAGTTTTTTTGTAATTGATGATATTTGTGAGTAAAGTTTGTTATTTCAGTCTTTATGGTATTATTTGATGATATTCTTGTGTGCTTACAACGTCGTAGTAATCAGAAGTATGTGTTTATTCAACAGGTTCGTAGTCTGTTTCCTTTTTTTTTTTTGAATATTTGCATAGGTAGCTGTATAGGCCTCTATGTGGGTTTTTTCTAATTTTCTGACGTGATCAGAAGGATCAGAGCTTCTGCCCAACAAGTGGCATGGATTTGGACATTTTCCCCAAATCCGTACCCCTCGAGTGGGAAAAAAATTCATTAGAGTAGGACCGATTCCCTGCAATTCCCTTTATTCCAGGAGCAATCGGTATTTCCTGTTAGTGGTCTCATTCTGCGACCAGCTGATCGTAGTGCATCGGTGATGATCATATCTGGTGCCATTACAAAACCAGCTCTACTGGAAGTGGATTTCAATTCAAAGGCGGATCGCACAAAATGGATCAAAACACTCGAAACGGCCATCCATAGCGCTCCTGTCAAAGGTTGGTCCAACATCTGTTATCGGGGTGGCCCTTCAGAAGAACTGGTATCAAGATTCAGCATAAGACACCTGGAACCGTCTTTTCGTGGTTTAATGTTCTCAGTGATTACCAGCGATTGAGTTTCAGTCCGCATGTCACCACGAAATGAGGACGAAGCAGCCCGTCAACTTGAAATTGAACGACAACTGCAAGTGAAACGTCAAAAAGAAGCCGAGGATGCCTGGCTACGTAAGCTGGATGAGATGTTTGGTGGGTGATACTGAAAGATCTTCCCATCCCGCAAATAAGACCCACAGTGTCTAATTTGCCAGATTTTATGTTCTCCAAAATCCAGGCATTTTTTGATTTTATCTTTCTTCCTATTTATTCATTGTTTTCTGATTTTACGATTTTCAGAGCAACGAAACTCTCAAGAGCGGATCATCCAGGACTATGTGATGTCGTTGATGAAGTTTTTTGACGAGCTTCGAGCTCATTTACATACCTTGCCGTTGAAATCACGTCCCGATATCGCCGACCGTATTCGTGAAGCCGTTCGTCAACACTGCCGCGAACTACGCATCCGTCGCACTGCCCCACTTAATCGAAGTTGGTGTTTGGACGAGTTTTCACACTCTTTTATTATTTATTTAGTCAATTCATGATTGATTTTTACCATCCCATGAAGGCACTCATTTTCCCGGCATAACGGTATCTAGAACTGCTTGAAAGCTCTGGGTCAAAGCATCTCGACCACGGGTTGTTGGGCGATTTACCAGGAGAGGCGTGAGAGTAAAGGCGCTTGCGTACAACTTTTCCAGTAACCCGGGCGTGACAGGGGCTTCATCAGCTACAGTATGCCCCAGTTATAAATATTAAATACATCATTATTTTAGTGATCGAGAACGCATGTGTAGCACGGGAATCCGAGCTGTGGAGTTTCATCGATGTGACAGCGGAAATGGCCCTCGATGGCACGCCGGATTCTGATGGTGGTGGATCAAGTAGCGACAGTAGCGGAAGTGGACGACGGCCGCGACGTATACATACGTTCCATGGAACCACTGGTCCTTCGAGTGGTCACGGTGCGTCGACATCCTCAACAAAAGGAAGTGGGTATCTGGCCAACCATTCTGTTGCATCGTCTGTATCGAATTTGGCGAGAATCGAACTGTCGGCTCTTGCCAATCGATCCATGCGGTGTAACAGACTGTACATCGTGGTGTGATGCATAGGTTGCCTGCCATTCTGCTTTCTAATTTGGAAACAAAACGGGAATCAATCTTCAGGGTTGACAGTACTTGTTTTCAGAGTCAACAATCCGGCGACACACTACAGTACCACGAATGAGTATTGGACAAGAGGGTGGTGGCGGTGATAAGAGCGATGATGAAGACGAGCGGTGGGAGATGAGTGAGGAGCGCCGGGAACAGCTCGAAGTTGATGAAAAGACCCATCGACTACCTGTGAGTTTTTTTCCGAGTGATTCAGTCTGAGAGAAGAAGGAGAAAGGGGCGAGGGGAGGAGGAGTGGGAACGAAAGGAGATTGGGGTGTATAGCCGAAATGTCTCCTCAGAAAGTGGTCTCCATAAATTTCCTTACCTCCTCGTCCTACCATCGTTTCCTTTTCAGCTTGGCCTCAACCTGAAAGCTCGACGGGCTATGACCCATCTAATTCGCGATGTGGTGAAGCTGAAGACTGAAAATAACCATCTTCGAAATGAGATATCCTTGTAAGTTGCTGGGTTTCCGTCAGAATTCACACTGGTTTCATCTGATAAGTTACGATAATGGCCTTTTAGGAGTCGAACACGGCTTGCTATGAGAGAACGAACCCAAAACGTTGCGGCCCCTTCGTCATTAGCTTCCGATACGATGGAAGCACTGCGACGCAAAGAGCAAGAACTTCGTGAAGAAGATGCACGCCGTCGACGTGAGCTGGATCAGTTAGCAGAGCAGTTACGTCTTGAGCAGGAACGAATGAAACAGCAGGAAGCTCAGTTGAATACGGAAAAGGTAGGGTTTTTGGTGGCTTAGCTAAGGTATATCTCCGTGGGGTGGATTACTCTTTCTCATTGACGGCTTTTGAAATTATGGCTTGTAATTCCGGGCTAGATTGTGGAATGGGTGAAATAGCCGCATTTCACAGTTTTCTTCTATTTATAGCCCTAGTAGGCGTTTGAATGGGTATTTTGGCCACAACGGAAAATTCGACGACGCCCTCTTGTGCGAGTCGGATACAACAGTTGGTAACTGACCCTGGAGGGAAGAAGGGGCTGGGAGAGATCCATCTGGGATTCGAATCTTGAACCTTATGTGGTCACCTGGGGAAGACAGGCAGTAAGAACGGTTTCATGTGATCCGCCGTACGCGGCTGTCGCGGACTATTTGCCTCATTATAACAGTTCTAGCGTTTTTCCTACAGCTCAACCGCTATGCGATACTGGCATGATTCTACTGTTAGTTCTTTCGTTTTTGTATTTCTTACTTGCCTCTGCACTCTGCTACATTCTTTCGCACGCGATGTCTCTCTCGCCACGACGCGACAATTTCGTTCCTAATGCGCCACACCCGTCGCATAGCACTACCTCGCCTAATTCCCTATTAACAAAAAATTTATTTTGAATGAGTTTTTCCGACTTTCCCAAGGAGATATTCATGGTCAGGATTACTTTTTTTCACACGAAAGCAAACCACTGCACACCAACTAAGTGTCATCTTCTGGAAGTCCTTATTCATTAGCTTGCAGCAATCACACTTAGATCTCAAAAGGTTTTTTTTTNNTTTTTTTTGTGCTTCTAGCCTAATGAATCTTCGATTGGCGTTTGATGGGAATTCCTTCACAGAGGGACCAGACACCAAAGGCTATGTAGTGGGCATGAAGACGTATTAGTCCTATTAAATAAAGGAGAATAGCGTATTCATCCGAAGTATGGTTTGAAAATTGGTAAAACTGACGCGTGGGGGAAATCTCAAAGCCCTGCATCGGTTAGGAGGAGGTTTTTGAGTAAAAGCAGAAAAAAAATGTCGATTGGTTGAATAGGGTTTTGCTGTCAACACATCTTACTTTTAACTATCTAAGGGAAGAAATGGGTGGGGTGGACCCAGCCTGATAAGGTTGCTATTTGGTAAGGAATCTGATGTATGAAGTCTGATCCGTCGGTCACGTCATAGAGCACTTAATCCAGAAGCTAAATTCCGTTATAATTCACTTTCGCTCGAATTTCAGGAACAATTGCGTCGTAGCGAAGCAGAACTGGCTGAAAAATGGGCTGCTTTACATGCGGCTACGGAAGGCAGTGGTGGAACGCCGAATGCACGGATTGTTGGTCGAATTTCCATGAAAAGTCCGAGTTCCTTGGGACGAGTTTCGTCATTTCGTGATCCGATGTGAGTATGACTTCTGTAAATTTATTCGATTACACATGGTGGTGGTCCTCCTCTTCAGAATTCTCACATCACTATGATTTAGATCAGCAGAAGCGAATGGTGCACAAATGGTAATTTTATTTATGTTAATAATCGATAACGCTTTTGTAATTAAATCAGTTTGCTTACCGTAGCCGTGGCCTAGTAACCCTAGCTGTTTATATTCCCTGCGTTTATCCTAGTCCTTCATAGTATATCTTAGTTTTTGAATAGGTTAGTCGCACTAATCGATGTGTACGTCCTAGAATAGGCTTTATTTTTAAGACTTTTTTTTCAACTTTTTAAAATGAGTTTTCAAAATTGCAGCTTTAAATCATACAGAAAATCTAGGGCTGGGTGGAGCTTTTTATAACTTTTCAATGCGGAAGGCACCGAACGAATGGAGTTGTTTTCATATTGGATCTTGAAAATTGGAATGTTTTGATGGTCCGACAAAACAAAAAGACAACCCGTTGACCTTTGGTTTTGAAAACATAGCGCGTCTAGCGGAAGTACGGGAAGCCTCCCGAATGTAAACATCACATATCAATCGTTTTAACAGGCAGTGGGCGTTAGGGTTTTTGTAATTCAGGGTTTTGAAATTTTAGACCCCGAAAATTTTGATTTTTCAATTCTCCAAGAGTCTGGAAATTCCTCGCTCATATCTGTAGTCCGAAGATCCGCGAGTCGTTTTTTTTTTNGGGGGGGGGGGGGGTGGGCTGTGAAAGAAATATGGTGGTTAAGTACGGCAAATTGATGACGGGTTCAGGTCATTTCCTATGCCCTTTTCATTGATCAGTTGCCGAACTGCACATTTGGTACATGAAAAGTCAAACAGTTAGGGGTGGGATTGTCAAGCTCCGCCCCCATTTCACGCTGTGCCCATTGGATCCAGGTCTTCCAACACATACCGCCATTAGCGTCGGCTTTAACATCGCTTTATTCCCCATGATTAACATCCTTAAAAACTGCTTCAAATAAAACCGTCATCAAATCAGCTCATCACTCTTACCTAAATGTTCATTGTTTTCTAACAGCTTTTTAAATTCACTCCTAATAATCCAGCTGTTCTCATTAACGATTACGGTATTTCAGGGCGCCGACAACGACCGTGCCTCCAGCTGGCATATCACCAGCTCTAAGAAATCTCACTAAAAAAAGCGAGTTGGTGAAAAGAATAAAAAAGTGATGAGAAATGAACAACGAAATGAGAAAAAAGACTTACTCAATATGTGTATCGGATACCGGTCAGCAGGCACCCTCCGCATTCGACCTGACCCAGTCCCGTTTGCTCCGCCCATCACGGATTAAAGGACGTAGTCTGTCGTGTACATTGAATGTGCCCCCGTACTTACCACATACATTTGTTTGACTCCTCTTTTTGTAGACCCTTTTGGAAGCTCGAAGGATCGTACAGTACAGACGATCCGTTCCTTCCATTTTATACTGCTCTACATTTTTGTGCCGTACCGTGCATGATTATTTCTGCTCCGAAATTTCCGGTGTCCTACCGTATCGCTTATGACTGAAGAGCTCTCCTCCTCCTCCTTGATGTATTTGTTGTTGTGTTCTTGTATACTTATTTTGATAGTTCAGAAGTAATTCATATATTTTATATTATACCGTATAATAATGATGATGTATTATTGTGCCTCGAATCGACGATTTGACGTCTTCTCAGTTTTTCATCATCATCCATCATCATCATCATCATCATCGAAGTTTACCCAATAATTCACGCGTCTCGGTCATCCATGTACTGTGTATTTGTATTGGTTACTTAATGAGGAAGCCCTCTTGTACGGTATAACAATTTACTTTACTCAGGTGAAATTGTTAACCGCTCAAGGGATACACGACTGATCCATTTCCAGAGCTTCTTATATGTGAAACCCGGAAATCGTGCTATTTTCGCAATGAAAGATCTAAACTAATCAATATTGTAAGAAAAATATACCGCCATATAAGTGTTATGGCCATTGTTTCTGGTTATGTATATACGATTGGGTTGATGATGACTTGTTGGAAAGGTGGAGTGGGTAAAATGACTCCCAGTATCCCTTAGACCCACGTCTCTCTCAGTAATCCTACAGTATAGTTATCGTAATCGTGAGGGGCAACCCGAGTGCACCCAGCTTCTTGCTTCTTTTTGAAATGGTATCTCTTGCTTCAAATTCTTCCGAATAGACGCCGTCCATTATTTCCTACAGTCATCATCATCATTACCAGAGTGCGAGTAATATTAATAATGATTTACTATTTTACTTTTTCTTTTCTTTGTTGTCTCATTCCAATACTATTGAGCTGAATAGATAAATTGCGATCCACTGATGTAACGATGTTTGATGAATGGAACGTTGAAAAGTCGTGTAGTTACGTACTTTCCGTACTTCCTGCTCTTCAAGTGGGCGAGTTATCATGAAATATGGAAGTTCTAATAGAGGGGCACAGTCTTCATTCGACATTCATAGTCCGGCCCTTTGTGGGATTTCGGCTTTATGGGAGTGCTGTCCGTCAGAGCCATTTGCTAGTTGTCTCGTCATGAAGCGTATCGTTCAGTACTACCTCCTAAAGGAATAAATAGGAGAATGAATCGTCATCCTACCTCGATTCATTTTCCTATTTATTCCTATTGAATTCTGGATAAGATGATTACCCTGCGCTGCTATACGGGTTAAGTTGTAGCCTACTGTACTGGGGTCATAACAGCGAACTTCTGAACAGTGTCAAGATTCCGGTGTGCGCCACATATTCGACTATGGCTAGACATTATAGAAGCAAATGAATGGGAGAGGGACTCAGCGTAAGCCGTGGGCAGCA